CAAGATGGCCGCTACCGCAGCAACACCTGTAAACATCTGCACACATCAGGCAGGGCTCTCTTTTTTTTAACAATCCCCTTGCTTAACAATGAAAGTTAGAGGGTCTCAATTACGGTCGTTAAGGCCGAGGCCTCCCTGAATCCCATCCCCTGTGGCAATGAGTTCCACCGTCTTAGAACAGACCAATAACTTTATTGACACTTTGAATGTACACTAATCGGCATGCATTAAAAGGAAATTTCGTTGTGTGCAGTTGCGTTTTACGCAAAAGGCATAAAAGGTGTTTTATGAAAAATAAATTGTTCTGCTTAGTGGAATCGCAGAATCGGCTGCAGTTTCAATTTCAGCGGAGAACCCCGATGCTCAGAGTCACCCAACCTGCTAACCCAGGATTATGTCAGGTTGATTATGTCAGGTTAAGTTAGAACTCCAGCCTGTGTTAAACCAGCAATGGTAGTCCATCAACAGCCTATGTACGGTTAATCTGGGCCTGGCCCAGTTAACTGAAGGCAAGTCCTGCTCTTTGGTTACACCCGGTTTAGAACCCGCTGTCTGAATGTGTTACCAACGGGTTCATTCTCCCAGCCTATTTTAAACCTGGAAAGGCAGGGTGAAGGAGGGGGGGGGACAGAGAGAAGAGAAATAGGGAGAGAGAAAGAGAGAGGAAGAGGGGGAGAGGGAGAGAAGAGAAAGAGGAGAAATAGGGAGAGGGGGAGAGAGATAGAGAAGAGAAATAGGGAGAGAAGTGAAATAGGGAGAGAAGAGAAATAAGGAGAGGGAGAAGAGAAATGGAGAGAGAAAAGAAAGGGAGAGGGGGGAGAAGAGAAATAGGGAGAGGGAGAGAGAAGAGAAAGGAGAAATAGAGAGGGAGAGGGGGGGAGATAGAGAAGAGAAATAGGGAGAGAAGAGAAATGAGAGGGAGAAAGGGAGAGAGAAGAGGAAAGAAAGGGAGAGAAGAGAAATAGGGAGAGAGAAAAGAAATAGAGGGAGAGAAAAGAGAAATAGAGGGGGAGAGGGAGAGAAGAGAAAAAAAAGAAAGAGGGAGAGGGGGAGAGAGAAAGAGAAGAGAAATAGGGAGAGAAGAGAAATAGGGAGAGGAGAAATGAGAGGGACAAAGGGAGAGAGAGAAGAGAAATAGGGAGAGAAGAGGAAAGAAAGGGAGAGAAGAGAAATAGGGAGAGAGAGAGAAGAGAAATAGAGGGAGAGAGAAAAGAAAGAGGAGAAAGAGGGAGAGGGGGAGAGAGATAGAGAAGAGAAATAGGGAGAGGAGAAATGAGAGGGAGAAGGAGAAGAGAAATAGGGAGAGAAGAGGAAAGAAAGAGGGAGGGGGGAGAGAGAAGAGAAATAGAGAGGGAAAGAGGGAGTTTTTTTCAGCGCCTCCTTCCCCAACCGGGCGCCCTCCGCTCGCTTGCTCAGCTCCCACAATCCTCGACCAACCGAGGGGGGGGGGAGAGCACATTTGGGAAGGGCCGCCTTCGGAGCCTGGCGCTTCCCCCGCTCGCCGAGGAGGGGGCTCCGCGGCCCGGGGCGGCCTTTTGTGGGGCGCGAGCCTCCGCTTGGGGTGGGGGCGCCCTCTCCTCTCCGNCCAACCGGGCGCCCTCCGCTCGCTTGCTCAGCTCCCACAATCCTCGACCAACCGAGGGGGGGGGGAGAGCACATTTGGGAAGGGCCGCCTTCGGAGCCTGGCGCTTCCCCCGCTCGCCGAGGAGGGGGCTCCGCGGCCCGGGGCGGCCTTTTGTGGGGCGCGAGCCTCCGCTTGGGGTGGGGGCGCCCTCTCCTCTCCGCCCAGCCAGCCCGTTGGAGCGCTCGCTTCTTTTGGGGGGGGGGGGAAGGAACCCCGGGGGGGGGGGGGGACGGGACGGCGGGCGGGCGGGCTCGGCCTCTGCGGCTGCCTCCCTCCTCGCCATCCCGCCGCCGCCTTCTTCGGCTCCGAGGCTAAACAAAGCCGGGAGGCCCCCGAACTTCGCCAAAACTTTTTTTTCTTTCCAAACTTGGCAAAAACTTTTTTTTCTTTCCAAACTTTGCAAAAACTTTTTTTTTCTTTCCAAACTTTGCAAAAACTTTTTTTTCTTTTCAAACTTTGCAAAAACTTTTTTTTCTTTTCAAACTTTGCAAAAACTTTTTTTTCTTTTCAAACTTTGCAAACACTTTTTCCAAACTTCGGAAAAGTTTGCAAAAAAAAAACTTCCTTTCCTTCGCCCAAAGCGCGGGGGAGGGGGGGGAAACGGGGGGGGAGCATGGCCCGCGCCCCCCGGCTGCCCCCTCCTCGCCCAGCAGCCCCCCCAGTCCCGGGACCGGGGGTGCCCGGGGCGTCCTAGGCGCGCGGCGGGTCTCCCTCCTCCATGGCCGGCGCGGGGCGTCTGCGCGGCGGCCTGGCCTGCTGCTTGCTGGGGCTGCTGGGCGCGGCGGCTTCGCTGAACGGCAGCTCGGAGGATCGGTGCAAGCGCCCGGCGCCCTGCGAGGCCCTCCGGGAGGGCGCCTGCCTGGGCTCGCCGCTGCCCTACGCCGCCACCTCCACGCTGCTGGCCGGGGACTCCGGCTCGCAGGCGGAGGCGCACGACAAGCTGCTGCTCTGGTCCGGTAAGGTTGCGCGCGATCCTAAGAGGAGAGAGAGCGAGGGAGAGGGAAAGGAGGCGGCCGGGACATCCCGCGCAAGCGGGCCGGCAGGAGCGGGAGGGAGATGGGCTTGTTCCCCGGGGTCGGTGGGATAGGATCGCTGGCTGCGGGGTGTTGGATTTAGAGGTCCCCCCCGCATCCGCTCGCTGCACCCCCCCCAGAAGGAGCCAGGAAGATGGGTGGGGGTCAGCTTTCCCCCGGGCTCGTCTGTGGATTACGACCCACGGCGCTGGTGGGGGTCCTAGGGCCCCCCCCATCTGCTCCTGCACCCCAAAATGAAGAGGGGAGTCAACTGCCCGATGGTCGGGCAAGGCGTCCGTGTAATAGGGGCGCTGGCTCTGGGCAAGCGTTCCTGGGGGGGTCCCCATCCGCTCGTGCACCCCTAAATGAGCCCTGTAGATAAGGTGGGAGTTAACACCCCCCCCATAGTCGTGCAAGGGGTAGGTGGGATAGGATAGATGTCTCCGGGATGCTGGACCTGGAGGGGGTCCCTCATCAGCTCGCTGCACCCCAAAAATGAGTTCTGGAGAGGGTCCTCCCACCCCCGTGGTTGTGCAAGGGGTAGGTGGGATAGGACTGACGTTTCCGGGCTGTTCGTCCTGGGGGGGTCTCCAATCTGCTCGTGTACCCCAAAATGAGCACCGTAGATGGGATGAGAGTTGGCTTTCCCCCCACAATGGTGCAAGGGGTCAGGTTGGCCCCCGCTTGCCCCAGGGGTGTAGGTCCTGGGGGGTCCCCGTGCACTCCCCAGGGTTGAGAAACGGGTTCACACAACACCCTTAATCTGACAATTGAAGGATTGTTGTAGCTTTGTGCAACATTGCGTAAGTCTCATTCCCCTGGGTTCACACAACATCCCTACCCACCGAGGCTAAGACTTCATTTGAAGTGGCCCAAAAGGGTCTGGCACGGATTGTGCGGGTGTGTTTGTTTTTGTGTGTTTGTGCCTCGCTTCAAAGAAATCGCAGCATCTGCTATCCGGGCTTCTTAACTCCCCATTTAATCTTTATTTTCATGCCTGGCATTGCTTCTTTATAACATTAGGCGCTATCGAGGGCCAAAATCTTTCACGTTTCTAGTCCTCAAGGTAAGGGTGTTTTTTTTTTTAATTTGATTGCCAAAGGAAGCTTCTCTTCTTCCGGTCTTCTCAGGCTTGCGAAATGCACCACGCTGCTGGGATGTGATCCAGCCCCTGTTGTGTGCCGTGTACATGCCGAAGTGCGAAGATGGGAAGGTGGAACTGCCCAGCCAGACGCTGTGCCAGGCCACGCGGGGGCCCTGCACCATCGTGGAACGAGAGAGGGGCTGGCCCGACTTCCTCAAATGCACCACGGATCGTTTCCCTGAAGGGTGCCCGGTAAGGGTCCGCCTCGGCCCCCCGTTGGCAGAGTCAGTGGGCAGGACACAGCTGGAAGGGACCTTGGAGGTCATCCAGTCCAACCCCCTGCTCAAGCAGGGGACCCTATACCAGGGGTGGGGAACCCTGGCTCTTTTATAACTTGTGGACTTCAACTCCCAGAATTCCGGAGCCAGCCATGCTGGCTCAGGAATTCTGGGAGTTAAAGTCCACGAGTCATCAAGCGGGCCATAGTTTTCCCATGCTGGCTCAGGAATTCTGGGAGTTGAAGTCCACGAGTCATCAAGGGGGCCATATTTTTCCCATGCTGGCTCAGGAATTCTGGGAGTTGAAGTCCACGAGTCATCAAGGGGGCCATAGTTTTCCCATGCTGGCTCAGGAATTCTGGGAGTTGAAGTCCACGAGTCATAAAAGAGCCAAGGTTCCCCATCCCTGCCCTGTACCATTTTTAATTTATTCAGCATACTTTATTTATGTATCATACAGTGCAGGGGTAACAGCACAGGTAGTCAGCTTACACAGCAATTCATTTAGTGACCGTTCCAAGTTACAACAGCTCTGAAAAAAAGTGACTTATGGCCGTTTTTCACCCTTTACAGCCTCCCCATGCTCACGGGATCAAAATTCAGGGGCCACTGGCTCGCATTTACGACGGTCGCAGCGTCCCCGGGATCACGGGATCCCCTTTTGCGACTTGACCAGCAAAGTCCAGGGGGAAGGAGTCTGATTCACTTAACAGCCCTCTTGCTAACTTAATAACTGGATGGTGGGGGAGGATTTATACTCCTTGCAGACAGCTGGTCATTTGCATCCTTTGAGAGAGTCGTTGAGGCCACTTGGAGGCTTACCTGTGTCCTCGGGGTCACCTGAGTGGTGCAAATGGGTGTCCCAACCCTTTCAGCAGTTCCAAGAAGTCTCCACACCCATTTGCACCACTCAGGTGACCCTGAGGACACAGGTAAATCTCTAGGTGGCCTCAACGACTCTCTAAAAGAGTGCAAATGACCAGCTGTCTGCAAGGAGTATAAATCCTCTCATTCCCCACGATCCAGTCGGAGCCGAAGAAGCTTCTTTGATGAGAAGCAAAATGTCTTCAAGGAACAAACAAAAAAGTCTAGTTGCCTCCTGGAAAAAAAAAAAACCACACCTTTGGGACCACCATGACCTGGAAGACGGAAAATATCCAGAGAGGCCATTGAAAAATGAATGTTTATTCATGTTATGTTTATGCATGAATGTTATGAATGTTTTTTTTATAACAAATTTATTTATTTTCCAGTTTAACATCCAAGTATTTAGAAAGCAACATGGTGACTGAGTAATCAATAGTTCAATAACAAAACGTTTTGTACATATCTCAGGTTACATTATCAAAAATTCCTTCTCTATTTCCCTTAACATTTGGTATATCGTACTAAAACTAGCAAATTTCTAACCGTAACAAATTCAGTTAAAGCATTTATCAATCCATTTTTTTGCTTACACATATCCGTATCCTTTTTTCTAACTTTTACCTAATTCTTAATTTTTAATTATAGCAGTCCGAATTTTAACCTTTAAGATCCACAGTATTGAAATGTCTGGTAACCCAAATTTCCTTTATTTCATTACACAAAGGTTATAATACCTAAAATACGTATATTACTTACTCGACTTATGAGTGTTTGGACCATTCTAGCATAAATAATAACTCAGTAAATCCTGTTCTCGTTTCTCCACCCCCCCGCAGAACGAGGTCCAGAACATCAAATTCAACAGCTCGGGGCGATGCGAAGCCCCCCTGGTGCAGACCGACAACCCCAAAAGCTGGTACGAGGACGTGGAAGGTTGCGGGATCCAGTGCCAGAACCCGCTTTTCACCCACAAGGAACACCGGGAGATGCACGTCTACATCGCCGCCTTCAGCTCCGTCACGATTCTTTGCACCTTTTTCACCCTGGTGAGAGGGAGGGAGCCAGGCCTGGGGTGGAGGAGAGGGAGGGGGGATCTGATCAGGGTCTTACGCTTAAAAACCGTGGTTAGCCCAGGGGGGCTGAGAAGCTGGGCTGGTTCACGTGGAAAGGAAGCCACACCTGGCTTGAATTCTCTCCTTGCCTTAACGTGTCTTCTTGACAAGGCATTGTGGTTGGGTGTCATGTCTGAATTAAAACAATTGCAGTGATGTCTGTGTTGCAGTAGAATATTTTAAGAAGAGACTGGACAGCCGTTTGTCCGAAATGGTGTAGGCTGACAGTGTTTCTCAACCTTGGCAACTTTACGATGTGTGGACTTCAACTCCCAGAATTCTCCAGCTAGCAACACTAGCGGGAGAATTCTGGGAGTTGAAGTCCACACATCGTAAAGTTGCCAAGGTTGAGAAACACTGGTGTAGGGTTTCCTGCCTGAGCAGGGGGTTGGACTAGATGACCTCCAAGGTCCTTTCCAACTTTATTATTATTATTATTATTATTATTATTATTATTATTATTATTATTATTATTATTATTATTTTAGCTGAGGGTTGAATTGTGGGGTCCTTGGTGTTCTCTGAGTTCGGTGGTTTTCTGGCAGACGCTTCATGACCCAACTAGGGAATGTCATCAGTGCTAGAAAGGAGTGGAAAGGAGGAGAAGGAAGGAAGGAAGGAAGGAAGGAAGGAAGGAAGGAAAGGAGGGAAGGAAAGGAAGGAAGGAAGGAAAGGGAAGGAAGGAAGAAAGGAAGAAAGGAAAGGAGAGAAGGAAGGAAGGAAGGAAGGAAAGGAGGGAAGGAAAGGAAGGAAGGAAGGAAAGGGAAGGAAGGAAGAAAGGAAGAAAGGAAAGGAGTGTGGGGTCCCTGGTGCTTTCTGAACTGGGTGGCAGACGTTTCATGACCCAACTAGGGAACATCATCAGTGCTAGAAAGGAGGGGGGTTGCAGAGAGGAGGAGGAGGAGGAAGACAGGACTGTGTGGTCCTTGGTCCTTGTATATAAACAAAGAGCCAATCCCACTCCCTTCTAGCACTGACGGTGTTACCTAGTTGGGTCATGAAACGTCTGCAAAAAAACAACAAAGTTCAAAGAATACCAAGGACCCCACAGTCCTCCTCCTCCTCCTCCTCCTCCTCCTCCTCCCTGCAAACCCCACTCGAACTCACCGTCTCCTGGTGATTGGCCCAAAGTCACCCAGCCCGTCTTTCATGCTTTGGGCAGGACTAGAACTCACCATTTCCTGGTTTCTAGCTTGGCGCCTTCACCAAACTTGGGTTTTTTTACCCAGTCATTCTACTTTGCCTTTCCAGGTGTTAGCTGGTATTCCGCAACCTGGCGCCCTCCAGGTGTGCTGGGTTGGCAACTCCCAGAATTCCTAGCGGCTGGCATACCTGGAAGGCACAGGACGGCCGAAAACCAGTCTTACCTGCGCTTTCCCTCCAGGCCACCTTCGTAGCCGACTGGAAGAATTCGAACCGTTACCCGGCCGTCATCCTCTTCTACGTCAACGCCTGCTTCTTCATGGGCAGCATCGGCTGGCTGGCCCAGTTCATGGATGGCGCCCGCAGCGAGATCGTCTGCCGTGCCGACGGCACCATGCGCTTGGGGGAGCCCACGTAGGTTTGGGGGTTGGTGGGCCTGGCCTGGGGAACCCCTGGCCACTGAGCTGCAGCCAGGGAAGGCTACAGAAAACCTCGTGTTTTTGGAGATTCTCTGTCCTGGCGGTCCCCAAGGTGCTTTTTCAAAAGGCACCTGGCCTTGTTTTTTCCTCGAAGAGGTGTCGCTTGTTCATCCGAGAAGCTTCTTCAGTTCTGACGGAATGGCGGGAGATGGAAGGAGGGTCTTACTATGGGGGCAGGAAATTATTTAGAGCAGGAGTGGTGGGGAATTAATTTCCCCAAGGGGCCGCATGAGAAAATGGGATTGTTCCGGGGGTGGGGGTTTGTGAACCCCTAGGGCTGTGAAGGTGCGAAGGATGGGGAATTCTGGGGATTGAAGTCCAGGCACCGTAAAGTGGGCAAGGTTCAGAAAGTCTGACGTAGAGTACCAAGAATGGCTCTTGGGAAGAGTTGGAAGACTTTTTAACTCACTTTTGAAGGCATCTGGAGGACGTTTGAAGGCATCTGGACTGGGTTGGCACGCCTGGCAGAAAAGATACAGTGCATTGACTTTCTCTCTCCCTCTTCCTCCCTCCCATTCTTTCCCTCCCTTTCTGTCTCCCTCCCCTCCCTCCCCTCCCTTTCTCTCACTCTTTCTCTGCCTCCCTCCCTTTCTCTCACTCTCTGCCTCCCTCCCTTTCTCTCTCCCTCTCCCTCCCTCCCTTTCTCT